TCCACACACGGTGACTTTTGATATCTTGCCATGATGTGTTCTATCCACACACGGTGACTTTTGATATCTTGCCATGATGTGTTCCATCCACACACGGTGACTTTTGATATCTTGCCATGATGTGTTCTATCCACACACGGTGACTTTTGATATCTTGCCATGATGTGTTCTATCCACACACGGTGACTTTTGATATTTTGCCATGATATGTTCTATCAACTCACGGTGACTTTTGATATCTTGCCATGATGTGTTCAATCCACTCACGGTATGTATTCGTGTCTGTGATTTGAATGAATGTCGGTGTAAGAATGTGTATACAAGTGTGGGTATGTTTAGGTGTGTATGTATAGAGGCGTTTGTATATATGAGTGTATGTATGTGGATATACGAGTGTGTGGACGTTTGTGTGAATTTGTATATGTGTATGCATGAATGAGAGTGCATGTGTTTATGGATGCACGTATGTGTATGTATGTGTGCATGTGTATGAATGAGTAATTTGTGCATAAAGGTTACTGTGCATGTGTGTGTGTGTGTGTGTGTGTATGAGTTTGAGTGCTTGTATGTGTACGCATGTGTGTGGGTTCTTGTATGTGTCTGTATGAGAATGGGTGCATTTATGTATTTGTATGAGTGTGTATGTATGAGTGTGTGTGTATGTATGTATATGTATGGATGTGCTTGTGTCTGTGTATACAAGAGTGTATCTTTATGTAAACGTGTATATTTGGAGTGTGTGTGATTGTGTATACATGATATGTGTATGCATAATTTAATTATGTATATTTTTATATAAACATGACATTCGTTGATGATAACATGCAACTGTGGCCTACAAGATAATTGCTTGAAAGGGCCGAATGAAAGACGGGTCTGCGTGCTCAATGTGTAACCCTTCAAAAATGAAGTTTATTTGTTCGTTGGTTCCTTCTATCTGTCTCTCTTTCTCTTTTTAGCTATATATATATGTCTCTCTCTCTCTCTCTCTATCTCTCTCTCTCTCTCTCTCTCTCTCTCTCTCTCTCTCTCTCTCTCTCTCTCTCTCTCTCTCCCATTTTTCTCCTTCATTCATTCACTCAGCCTGTAAATATTATATCTATATTATTCTCCAAAATGTTGAAAGTTTAATTAGGAGTCGACATCAAAACCCTCGGGACACCCCCATAAGCGCTCCATCGCCATCTTCAGCAGCAAGCAAAGAGTTAAAATTCCGATGGTACCAGTAACTGTCTGATTGCATATCCGTCTGCCCTTTCACCTGAGTGTCGAGCGTCGGCCAAATCCCCTTGTAACTCCTCGCAGTGCCATTTTGATCAGACCGAAACGATCTATCTGTGCCTCGGCACTGTTCACTTGCTCCAAAAGGGCCCTCATAACATCCAGCTTGTCCTACATCAGTTCACCACCAAGTGGTACAGAACCGGCCAGACTATTGCCTGCTTATTTCCCTACACACCGGCACCACAAGTATGTTTGCCTTCTTTAGTAGCTCGTGTCATTTCTGTCACAACCTTCTAGTGTAGTGTCTGTGTGCGAGCGTGTTTGTATGACCGTCTTCCTCGATCTATAGCTGTACTATCACATAATAACCATCATACACAAACGAGTCAAGTACAAGATTTACACACGCGCAGTAAGTCCTGAAACAAACAAGCAAGAAAACCTGATGCACATTGAAACTGACACATTCAACGGATGAATACCAACCCCTGGCTGAAAGTCAGTCTGTTTTAGCCCTCAAAAGCCGCTGATGACGATCATGTCACAGCGATGTGGTCACTTCCCCGCCTCTGCTGATCCTTTCTCGCAAACTCCAAACATTCGTTTCTGATGTTGTCTACACAGGTGCGCATTCAAGCGAATCATGTTTGCGCTGAATATTGAGACGTTACAGGCTAGTTGCCTTGTTCAATGTATATTTTCTTACACATAACTTTCCCTCATCGCTTGACTGAATCTGGTAAGCAAGCACTTATAGTGCATCTTTATTGAGGATGTGAAAAATACATTCGGAGCTCTGATTTCTCTACAGAAGAATGTTCTAAAAAGAATGTTGTCTAATTTTCGCAGTCATTTGGCTTTTGCAGGCACTAACTACCAGGCTACGTTTTATGTTTAAGCATTAACAGTTAGTGATTCATATCTGGATCTGCCAGATAAATAATTTTAAATGTTGAATGTTGAATAAAGAATCGACATCACAGCACTCTGGACACCCCCATAAGCGCTCCATCTCCCATCTTCAGCAGCAAGCGAAGAGTTAAAATTCCGATGGTACCAGTAACTGTATGAATATATATCCGTCTCGCCTTTCACCTGAGTGTCGAGCGTCAGCCAGATCCCCTTGTAACTTTTCGCAGTGCCAGATATTGGCACACAAGACAACAGACGCTGCGGCTGCAGAACTTGTCTAGCCAAATCTTGACTGTACAAGCACACAAAAGATTCAACACAATACATAGATGGTATAGATAAACACATAAGCTTTGTCAAACATTGTGTTTCTGTAGCAGTATCTATATGGTTTATGGTGAAATAGAGACGGTGGTCTGTTCTTGAGAACTACGGGGTACAAGGACAGTTACTAGAGAACATCATAGCCATGTACCATGGATCGACAACATTAAAGACACTCTACGCCGTCACCGTATGACAATAGCCAATGGCAGCCAACGTGCATTGGATGGCAAATGATTCCTCCCCACGACGCTTAACTGTCGAGGTGGTTTATGATAATGATGATGATGTTGAAGAAAGACCTCTAGTACGATATAAAGATGTGTACAAGCGGGACATGAATGATACAGGTATTTAGGTGAACTGGTAGGAACGAAATGCTATGGACCGTGTTGCGTGGAGGGTACTCATCAGGAACGGAATGAGAATGAAGGAAACAGGATCGCAGAAACAATGAGAGGTAAGCGTCGAGAAGAAAGAGACTAAATACAAATGTTGACAGAAAATGGAAGACTTTTCTTCTAGCTAGTCACACTCGCCATCGCTATGGGCTGTGAGTCCCATGCCGTGGTGAAGTGGTCAAGGAGTCTGCCTCGCGCTCTGAGGAGGGTCGAGGGTTCGTTTCACGACTACGCCCATCAGTTCACGAGTGCAATTTTTACGCAGATCCATGTGGATCGTCGCCGGAGCCACGGTGTTCGTGCACTGTGTGGTGCGCCCAGCAAGCAGCCAGCCGTTTTGCGGAGAGAGACCGAGCCATATGGAATAAAATCCGGTGCAATGAATTCGATCCTCTGGACCTTAACGTTTTTACACTTTTTTCGTCTGGAAAAACGGAAGGTGCCAATCTGATCTATATGGGACAGAAACGTGGACAATAAATGAACATTAAAAAGTTGAAATGAGGACCCAGATATGCCCACATACACGGAAGAATAAACTGTATTTTATAGTTGTAAAAAATCATGTGTCCTGGGACGACTTTTTACTTTACAGAGAACCGTTGACAGAAATTTGAGAGACAAGCAAATAATGAAGCCCCCACTAGAAGAAAAAAAAAACTGCAGCTCATATTAACACAACGCTTATAATAAATATACTAGACAGAAAAGTGATACACGGAGCAAGATGTCGACAGCAATATAACTGGGGGTATAATACCAACAGAAGGGCTGCCTACAAATGGCCTGAGCGAGTATGCAACACGGGTAACAGAAAGTGTTGAAGATTAATTGCAACCAGTTGTCGCTGTGTAGTCTACATATGATTGATTCTTTAAAAAAAAAAAAAAATCAGAAATAGATCTTTAGAAGCAGACATGCAAGAAGCTATAATACACCCCCCCCCCCCCCGCCACACACACACATGAAAGGTCATGCAATTCGTGCTGAAATGGAGAGAACAAGCAGTCAGAGTGAAGGTCACAGATATTGCTCTACATATATAATGTCGGTAGGCATTTAAAAAACACTCAGTAGTTCAGTGTATGTATTCAACAAACGACTAATACTTTTATGTAGCGTTACCACGTTCCTCGTGTGTGTGTGTAGTAGGGTATGTGTTTGTCTGTGAGCGTCGATTTAGTATTTAGTTATATTTTAGTCCCCCCCCTTATGATTGCATTCTGTAGGTTTCACATCTGAAGGATGAGAATCGGTCAGGTACAAATTCCAAAAATCTCGTTCAGCCATAAAGTCGTCCAGCTATTTTGTGTTTCTTATAGTCCCCTCCCCCCGCCTATTCTAACTAGAACATGTGTAGGGGCGGGGTAGTGGCGTTGAGGCTCCCCCAACTTTGTTGTAGTTTCTCAACCCGTTTTCCTCTTTTGCCGCGGCACCCTTGTCAGTCACACCTACCTTTAAAGCGGTTTGAATACTTAGGATAAGAAAAAGAAAAAAAACTTTGCAAATTTAATGTTCTTTTGTCTTTAAAACGATGTATGAAACTGTTTGGATGAATTTTGCATTATTTCCTTTATGTTTATAGGAAGATTGTCAGCTCTGTGGCTAAGTCGATGCGAACGCTTCATAACGCCCGGGTGCCGGGTTCGATCCCAGCTGCGGGCCATGCGCCTTGCGTTGGTTTCGACAGTGGTATCAAGAAGCCGATCGTCCAGAGACAATGGCAAACTACCGGACGTTAATTTTCCTAGAGAAACCACACAACAGCCAGAGGCTGCTGGTGGTTCTACAACGTTCCTCTAAAGGATACACAACTAACCTTGTGGTAAGATTAGTTACCGTGTACCCTAAAAATCTCTTGGTTGCTCCTGTATCTATTTTTTAATGAAGCGTACGTTGAGAATACACAACAGATTTGCCACTAACATTGTTTTCTGACATGCATCTAGAATTCTTCTTAGCTTCGTTCGTAGTATTTATGTTTTCAACTGCTGTCTTCGCTGATTTGAAGCAGATTTTGTAAAAAAAATTCTTGATTAAATAAAACCGCGGCACCCAGTTTGAGAACCGGTAATTGACAGAAAGTCGATCTTGGGTCAGGGAACAACATCCGGGTCAGAGGTTAGTGAGACAACAACCATGGCCGCCTCTTCTGCAGGACCCGAATTTGGAGAAAATATCATCCTAGAGACCGGCCTGGAGTACACGCAGAAACCGGCTCATGTCTACCTTACATCCTCACGGCTCATCATCGAACACAGGCTGGAGTCGACGAGTCGCGACGGTAATCTAGAAGCCGGTCCCAGCACAGGTGAGTGATTGGCCGTGACTTCCGTACAGTACCAGAACCTGCTGTCTGTGACTGCCTCTGACTTCCTGGTGCTGCCGCTGTTCTAGTCTCCGTCACTGGTGCCGGTGTCTGAGTCTAGCTTTTTGTGTCCCAAACAGCATACCATGCTGGATTGGTTATCATTCACATGTTGCCAACATGCTGTGAATGTTTTTACACCTTATGTTTGGGCAGCGAACACTCCCCCCCCCCCCCCCCCCATAACCGGTGCGAAATGGTTAACTCTGTCTCAGGAGGTTTAGCATCAGAGGCCCAAGGGGTGGTAATGTGATTTTTTAATGTCACAAGTGTTACACATTTAAACAGACCATACTAATTCAACTGCTGATCGACATTCACATATTATACATCAATGCGACCAGGGATTGTTGAGGAATAATTAAAGAATACAGCAACAACAAATAAGGGGTTCTCCTTGCAATAATGGTCGCTACTTAGACGTCGACGGCCGCTTAGTCGGAGTTCAGTCCCCTGGCTGCAGTGCAATTACAGAGTGGACAAGGCATGAATCACAAAACACAGTGAGTTCAACATGGCATCTAGACCACACGCTGCGACTTAAATTAGCCTAACCCTAACCCTACCCCTAACCCTACACCTAGCCCTAATTATGTCATTTGTGTCGTTACTTCCTCTCCACTCTGTAATTGCACTGCAGCCAGGGGACTGAACTCCGACTAAGCGGCCGTTGCCGTCCAACTAGCGACCGTTATTGCAAAGAGAACCCAGATAAGGCTCTCCTCCGAACTTCTACCCCGCATTATGGCGGCCTGAAATATCCGTTCGTGGCTCAGTTCTATTGAAAATATGCTGGCTCCGTATAATGAAACAAATGCTCCAACAGGGTCTCAGCGATATGTTACTTGAGGACCTGTTTCTTATTGTTTCTGATTACCTGACAATTCTAAGAGACGCGACACTGCAGACGATAGTAGCGACCGTTGACACTTTCCATTGTTGGGACTTTCTGCCGAGGAACAAATATGTAAAATGGGGACTTGTCGGACTTTCTGCAGACGAACAAATCTAGGATCGGCTCGGAAAAACGAAACTAATGCTCTAACAGAGTCTCATTGATATGTTACTTGCGGACCTGTTTCTGTGACTATGCCTCACCGCCAACAGTATCCCCCGCGACGCTACGCGCGGTGCGGATAGGGGCTAAACTAGATGGCTGGGACTCACGAGCAGCAGCTACGGCATCTCCTGCAACTTCCTCCATTTACTTTGCTCGTGAGTCCCAGGCACCTAGTTTAGCCCCCTCATCCGCACCGCTCGTAGCGGCATGGGGGATACGTTCGGCAGTGAGTTTAATTGCGTTTAGCCCCAATCCATTCGGCGTGGTGGATATTTTCGGCGGTGGCGGAAGTCACAGGAAGCGTGCACAATTGACACGTGACTAGGGCCCTGTTAGGGTATATTTTTTTCCTCGATAATTTAGCACCGTTATTCGGAGGATAGCCCAAATACCATTTTGTTAAAAAAACTGACTTCCCAAAAGAATTAGTAGCTTCACACAAAACAAAGCTTATCTAACACTCAATGTGCCTGTAATTGTTTAGCTATGTTCCTAAATAATAAGGGGAATGGCACTAGAACTGACTGATACTGAAAAAAATCGCCTTTCCACTAATATTTATTCTATTTGTACCAGCTGACTTTGCTATCGTTGATCCCTGCACATAAGGTCATGTTAGACATATTCCTCGTCATAGTTAGACTATAAATGACTGGGCTATCCTCTGAATAACGGCCACATATTATGGCAGCCCAAAACACACCCTGACAGGGCCTCATTAGGTTGTGTGTTGTAAACATTAAAAAATTTGAACTCGAAAATAACGAGAAACGAAAAAAGGGAAAAGACAAAATCGACTACTTAGCGATAATTGAGGCCTTTATATCTTAAAATAGTGACTCAGAAGTTGCAAATAGTGCCCCAAAATCTGCTCTTTGTGGCTGTGGCACCATTGAAACACAGCTAAATATGATCAGTGCGGCATTGGTAACACAGTTTTTACCGCCGAGGGTATCTCCCGCGCCGCGGATAGGGAGTTAAACTAGATGGCTGGGACTCACGAGCAATTAATTGGAGGAAGTTGCAGGAGATGCGGCAGCTGCTGCTCATGAGTCCCAGCCATCTAGTTTAGCCCCGCATCCGGGCCCCGTGTGGCGGCGCAGGGGATTCGCTTGGCGGTGAATTTTAATCCGAAGAACACTATCGCTAAACTGCGTCTGAGCGCGTGGTCTCCCCGCCATGTCGCTATTATCGTGTATATTGTTGCGTTTGTCAAAATTGTCAAAGGACAGTAATCCTAGTTTTGCCGCGATGTGTGCGTTGGAGGAAGTCTGCAATTTACATGTGATTGAGACCCTGTCAGGGTGTGTTTTTGGCCGCCATAAAATGTGGCTGTTATTCGGAGGATAGCCAATGAATGAAACAAGTCTGCTTCGTATCTTTATCTATCTAACTTCAGATAAATCTAATAAACACGTGCTTTATTTAAAATTGAGGCTTCGAAAGCCATAAATCATATTGGTATGCATGTAGAATACTAGTCTAGTCACAGTTGTCAACAGATGTCTAGTCACAGTTGCCAATAGATGTCTAGTCACAGTTGTCAACAGCTGTTTGGTGACATTATTACTTGTATCTATGACCTGTTTTTTATTTGATGCTTGTTTCAGATCTCAGATGTCTGATCATCCACCTACAGGAAGTGGTTGCTGTGAGAGCTGACAACCCGTGCTCAACCAGGGGCAAAACATCTCAGCTCAAACATCAACAGAAACCATGTTTGTTGCAAGATGACCGAACATCACAGACCAGTTCTTTCACTTTGTATGTAATCAAGGTGAGATAACTTATGGTATATCAGTCGATAATCTTCTTCATAGTTTTTACAGCTATTAATTTTGGCGGAGTTTTCTGGTTGTTCCTCTACTTCCGGTCTTTTACCAGAACTTTAGTTTTGCATGTACATTCGTTTTACAAATCTATCTAAGTTTTATGCAGACTGTTGGTTCCTCGCCTCTCAGGTAGATGTACCCCGACTTAAATGAGACACCCTAAACTAGTCGCCTTTTACGACAAGCTAGTTTGGGAAGCAGTGTGTCTATTATTTTTTCCTCTCAAACTGGGACCTTGAAACCCACATAGGAAAGCCAGTAATCAAGGTGAGATAACCTGTAATATGTCACCATTAATCAAGCTGAAATAACCTGTAATATGTCTCCATTAATCAAGGTGAGATAACCTGTAATATGCCACCAGTAATCAAGGTGCGATAACCTGTAATATGCCACCAGTAATCAAGCTGAGATAACCTGTAATATGTCACCAGTAATCAAGCTGAGATAACCTGTAATATGTCATCAGTAATCAAGCTGAGATAACCTGTAATATGTCACCAGTAATCAAGCTGAGTTAACCTGTAATATGTCACCATTAATCAAGCTGAAATAACCTGTAATATGTCTCCATTAATCAAGGTGAGATAACCTGTAATATGTCACCATTAATCACAGTGAGATAACCTGTAATATACCACCAGTAATCACGGTATGATAACCTGTAATATGCCACCAGTAATCAATCTGAGATAACCTGTAATATGTCATCAGTAATCAAGGTGAGATAACCTGTAATATGCCACCAGTAATCAAGCTGAGATAACCTGTAATATGTCACCAGTAATCAAGCTGAGATAACCTGTAATATGTCACCAGTAATCAAGCTGAGATAACCTGTAATATATCACCAGTAATCAAGGTGAGATAACCTGTAATATGCCACCAGTAATCAAGGTGCGATAACCTGTAATATGTCACCAGTAATCAAGGTAAGAAAACCTGTAATATGTCACCATCAATCCAGGTGTTATAACCTGCAATATATCACCAGTAATAAAGGTAAGATAACTTGTAATATTTCACCAGTAATCAATGTGAGGTAACCTGTAATATGTCACCAATAATGAAAGTGAGATAATCTGTATTGTCACCAGTAATTAAGGTGAGATAACCTGTGATATATCACCATTAATCAGGGTGAGATAACCTGTAATATGTCACTATTAATCAAGGTGAGATAACCAGTAATATGTCACCAGTAATCAAGGTGAGATAACCTGTAATATGTAAGCATTAATCAAGGTGATATAACCTGTTATATGTCATCAGTAATCAAGGTGAGGTAACCTGTAATATGTCACTATTAATCAAGGTGAGATAACCAGTAATATGTCACCAGTAATCAAGGCGAGATAACCTGTAATATGTGAGCATTAATCAAGGTGATATAACCTGTTATATGTCATCAGTAATCAAGGTGAGGTAACCTGTAATATATCACCATTAATCAAGGTGAGATAACCTGCAATATGTCAACAGTAATCAAGGTTAAATAACCTGTAATATTTCAGTTGGTACCCACTTCTGGACTGGATGTAAATTTGCCTAGAAAAACCATACAACAGCCAGGGGCTGTTGGGGCTGGTTCGTCAACGTCCTGTAAAGGATACGCAACTAACCAACCACTCACGTCTGGCAGTAGTAGCATAGAGTTTGTAAAGAAATTATGTTATCTTATGCTGTTTTAGTAAAAATGATTCATATATCTGTTGATGGTCTCACCTAGGTGTTTCTTGTTTGACAGAGAATATCAAAACATCGATGGCGACACAAGAGTTGCCAGTTTGTTTGTCACGACTATGGAACTTGCCAGATTTGGGTTGATAAAATTAATGAGCTACTGAAGAATCCAGGTACTTAGCACATATTTGTCTGTTTTTTTTTTTTAAAGCATTCGTCTGCTTTGTTTGTTCTCTGTTAGAAAGTAATGCTTTATTACGCCTCTTGAACTGTTCTTTTTTGTGTGTGCAAAATTTATGAAATTGACTTGTCCTTTACACTCTAGTTCAGAGGTTTTCAAACTTGTTTCGCCGCCGCACCCTTGTCAGGCAAAAAATATTTTTGCGGCACACCTGCCTTTAAAGTGATTTGAAAACTTAGGAAAATAAGAAAAACAGTGCACATTTAATATTCAGTTGTCTTTAAAGAATGATTGAGACTTCTTCTTCTTCTTCACTTCCTCTTTTACCGCTGTGGGTGTCGAGGGAGATATAAGGTTCTGTTTCTAGCTCTTCTGGGTGCCTCGACCATAGGCACATCGTGCTGTTGTAGAGTTTCTCTGATGTTATCCTTCCATCTTGTTCTTGGTCTACCCCGTGCTCTACGTCCTTCTTCTCTTTCCATGTATGCTTTGTATGGTATGGTGTCACAAGGCATTCTCTCTAAGTGGGCAAACCATTTCACTTGCTGTCTTTGTATGTAATCCAGAATTGATTCTGTGCCGACTTGTTCTCTTATGATCTCATTCCTGATCTTATCTCTTATGGTCACTCCTACAGCCCTTCTCAGACATCTCATTTCCGTGGTTACTAATTTTCTTTTATGGTTTGTTGTGAGTGACCATGTCTGGCACTGGTAGCACAGAGTTGGAATAAATATGCTTGAATAAGATGTCTCTTTGTGCTGATTGGGATTGTCTTATGCTGTAAGAGGGGGGCTAGCTGTCCCAATACTTGGTTTGCTTTACTGCATCTAATGTCAATTTCTTTATCCAATTTCCCATCTTCGGTAAATGTAGTTCCCAGATATTTAAACTCAGATGCCTGTTTGATGTCTTTGTATTCTATTGCTATGTTTAGATCTGTCTTCTTTTTTCCTATTGACATTACTTCTGTCTTTTCAGTGTTGATTCTCATATAATTTGTTTTACATTCTTCATTCATGGATGTTAGATGTTGTTGCAATTTCATGGCTGTATCTGCTATCAAGGCCTGGTCATCTGCAAAGAGTAATTCGTTGATCTTACTAAGATCTTCATTCATGGGCTTGGCATTCTTGCATATACTGTCGATGTAGGTGATAAACAGCAGTGGTGAAAAGACACACCCCTGTTGAATGAGACTGCTTGGATTCATTTGTCATTATTTCCTCTATGTTTGTGGGAAGTTTAAGTAATTAAAATCACTTGACCCAGAAAGTTTGGTCCTGTGTTTTTCATGTAAGCGTACGTTGTGAATGCACTGCAGCCCTGCGAGTAGCATTGTCATCTGAATACTCTTGCATCCAGAACACTTCTTGGCTTCCTTTACATTGTTTCTATTTTCAGCTGCTGTCTTCGCTGATCTCAAGCAGATTTTTAAAAATTCTTGATTATTGCCGCGGCACCCCTGGCATACGCTCACGTCACCAAGTTTGAGAACCCCTGCTCTAGTTCATTAAACATGCTTGACCTATCCCCAGAATGGAGGAGACCTAAGCGGCTGCTGGTGTTCATCAACCCGTTTGGTGGCAAGAAGAGGGCGGTAAAAATATTCCAAGACAAAGTCCAGCCCTTGTTTGAGATGGCAGGCATTTATTCAGAGGTCATTGGTGAGTCCTGGTTATTTTGAATGTCACACACACCAGCTTCTCATCCCATCCAGTGGAGTTTTAATTATAATCTGCTAGAAATCTGTACTGTAGCTTTAATATGCTAGAAATCTGTACTGTAGCTTTAATCTGCTAGAAATCTGTACCTCTACTATAATTCACTATAAAACTGTACCCCTGCTATAAACCACAAAAATTCTGTATCTTTGTCTTAATCCACTAGAAATAATACCTTTTGCTATAGCACTGGAAATCTATACCTTTGTTATAAGCCACTAGAAATCTATACCTTTTCTATAATGCACTGGAAATCTATACCTTTGTTATAATCCACTAGAAATCTATACACTTACTATATTCCACTAAATATCGATACCTTTGCTATAATGCACTGGTAATCTATACACTTGCTATAATCCACAAGATATCTGTACCTTGACGTCTCCAAATTGAATTTAAAAAAAAATAATGACACATTTATTACAGATGTTTTCACATAACAGTGTTTGAGGGGAACTACTTTCTTCTTCTTTCAGTGACCAAGAGACAGTACCATGCCCGAGATGTCATCTATGAATATGATCTGGAGACTGTGGATGGGTGTGTTTTTGTGTCTGCCATGTTTGGCGGGCACTTTTGTTCTGTAGACACTACCTAGAAGGAGACCATTGTAAAACAGATTATCTTCCCACATGTTTACTTTTTCCCCACCTGTTTACTTAACTTCCCACATGTTTACTTTTTCCCCACCTGTTTACTTAACTTCCCACATGTTTACTTTTTCCCCACCTGTTTACTTAACTTCCCACATGTTTACTTTTTCCCCACCTGTTTACTTAACTTCCCACATGTTTACTTTTTCCCCACCTGTTTACTTAACTTCCCACATGTTTACTTATCTTCCCTCCAGTTTATTTATCTTCCCTCCAGTTTACTTATCTTCCCTCCAGTTTCCCTATCTTTCCTCCAGTATCCTCATCTTCTCACCTGTGTACCTAACTTCCCTCCACTTTACTTATCTTCCGTCCAGTTTACTTATCTTCCCACCTGTTTACTTATCATCCTACCTGTTTACTTATCTTCCCTTTTTAATTGCTGTAGTGCTGCTGATGTTTTGTTAATTGCTGTATTGTTGATGTTTTGCTACTTTCTGTACTGTTGTTGATGTTTTGTTAATTGCGGTACTGCTGTTGATGTTTTGTTAATTGCGGTACTGCTGTTGATGTTTTATTAATTACTGTACTGTTGTTGATGTTTTGTTAATTACTGTATTGTTGAAAATGTTTTGTTAATTGCTGTACTGTTGTTGATGTTTTGTTAATTACTGTACTGTTGTTGATGACATATCATATCATCATCCAGCCTGGTTAGTGTTGGAGGGGATGGCACCTTCTCCGAAGTAATGAACGGATTGTTGGATCGCACTAACTCCGATGCTGGCATTGAGCAGTCTTTCCGTCACAAGCCTAAAAGTCCGTCACTTCGTATCGGCATCATTCCAGCAGGTCAGTCTCAGTGTCGTAGTTGTTCTCATTCAAGTTCTCGTGTTGTCTGTAAGTACTGAAATGTATACATATGCACATAAAGTAACTTGTCTGTAAGTACTGACATATATACATATGCACATAAAGTCACTTGTCTGTAAGTACTAAAATGTATACATATGCACATAAAGTAACTTGTCTGTAAGTACTGACATATATACATATGCACATAGTCACTTGTCTGTAAGTACTGAAATGTATACATATGCACATAAAGTAACTTGTCTGTAAGTACTGACATATATACATATGCACATAAAGTCACTTGTCTGTAAGTACTGAAATGTATACATATGCACATAAAGTAACTTGTCTGTAAGTACTGACATATATACATATGCACATAAAGTCACTTGTCTGTAAGTACTAACATAATTACATATGCACATAAAGTCACTTGTCTGTAAGTACTGACATATATACATATGCACATAAAGTCACTTGTTTGTAAGTACTAACATAATTGCATATGCACATAAAGTCACTTGTCTGTAAGTACTGACATATATACATATGCACATAAAGTCACTTGTCTGTAAGTACCAACATAATTGCATATGCACATAAAGTCACTTGTCTGTAAGTACTGACATATATACATATGCACATAAAGTCACTTGTCTGTAAGTACTAATATAATTACATATGCACATAAAGTCACTTGTCTGTAAGTACTGACATATATACATATGCACATAAAGTAACTTGTCTGTAAGTACTGACATATATACATATGCACATAAAGTCACTTGTCTGTAAGTACTGACATATATACATATGCACATAAAGTCACTTGTCTGTAAGTACTGACATATATACATATGTACATAAAGTCACTTGTCTGTAAGTACTGACATATATACATATGTGCATAAAGTCACTTGTCTGTACTGACATATATACATATGCGCATAAAGTCACTTGTCTGTAAGTACTGACATATATACATATGTGCATAAAGTCACTTGTCTGTACTGACATATATACATATGCGCATAAAGTCACTTGTCTGTAAGTACTGACATATATACATATGCGCACAAAGTCACTTGTCTGTAAGCACTGACACATGTTATTGATCCATCACAGTTGATAAGGACCACTCATTCTTCCATCCATCCTGAAACTATAGTTAAATGTCTGCATCTGGAGATGACCTTTAGGCCCAGTATGATCCTGGAAGGATCTTGGGCAGTGGGGGGCAGGGAACAGTGTCTGTTTGTAAAGGGCCTATTGTACTGGTCTCTCTACCCTGTCCTTGCTGTTCAGTGACCCCTTTTCTAGATGTCTTCCAAGTTGCTGTGCTCTCTGGATTGTTGTTCGCCATGCAGTCTTTTGTAGCTTTAAGTGCTGCCTTTAGCCTGTCTTTGAAGCAGTTTTCTTTTTCTTCTGGCTACCATGAGTGGGTCTACCTTATTGTATCTCGTGCAAAATTACTTTTGGGATCCAATGCCATATACTTTTTTTTTAAAGAATCACCTTTGATGTTTTCTGGGGCCCTAATGTAACCCAACCTATGAGTTGAACAGGGTTTCTGGAAACTTTCGCGGGGGGATCCTCATCCGAATGGTGGCACTTTGTTTCACCGGGTGTTTATCGCTTGTTGTGATATCCTGGTGGGGTTGAACATCAGTCAGCTAGATCAGATGGTTTCGCAAATGGAGGTTTGCACTGACAAAAATATATACACATACAAGTCAGATATCTCTGACACATATACATATATACACACAAACAAGCCACTTGTGTTTGGTATCTAGACTAGACAACTAACAAGTTTAATCTTTCTATGTTGGCCCCCAGGTTCCACAGATGCTGTAGCCTACACTCTTGTTGGCATTAATGACCCTGTCACGTCCGCCCTGCAGATTATCATTGGTGAGTTTGTTTCCTCTCTTGTTATTTGCACATTGAGGAAAAGAAAGGGGAAGTGAAGGCAGTCAGTAGTGCAAAAGTAAGTCACACAGCAGGGTACTATCAGGTGAGATAATTGTGTCAAATGTGTCATGGAGATTTTATCAGGATCGGCCAGGAAAAAACTGTGTCGAGATGATAAGGAATAAATGTCACAGCTTACTTGTCACTGAATGTCAAAAATGGAGAATGAAATGTGAGGTGGAATGTGTGCTGTGAATGAATCAATCAATCAAGAATTGACATCACTGCATTCGGGGCATTCCCACACCTGCTCTATCCCCTTCTTTAGTAGACAATGAAGAGTCGACATGCTAATAGTACCAGTTGCAACCTGATTAAAAGTTCACCTGTTTCGCCTTCAATGTTGAATATCTTCCAGAACCTCTACACACCCCCTGTTGAATTAGTCTTTCAATGTTTCGATTGTCTGTCTGTTCTGTTACACTGTCCATCGTACCCCAGTCAGCCTTCACTGCTTCCACTTTATCATAAAGTAGCTCACGTCTGCTGTGAGGCAGTGAATGTTGGAATGTGGCCCAACAAACATTTGATGGAGTGATGATGCAGGGATGTGAGGTTTGAGGTGGATGTTGTACTTGCCGTGGATAGCAAGTGGAAACTAAATAAAAGTTAAAAAAAAAAAAAATAAAGATCCCTTTTCATGCCTTTAGGTGCATCAGGCATATGGGCAGAGCGCCCATATTTTTACAGACCAATTGGAAATAGGTTGGTAATGTGGTCAGCATTGCGCCGGCCGTCTTTACTTCCCCACTACATACATCCTGGTACCCATTTTAGGCTGGGTCGACCTGCGACGCCCCATACCATGATAAAGATCCACGCGGTACGTTGGAATAACAAGTCGGACTCGCAACGCCCAAGCCTCAGACGCCGCCGGAAACTAAATAATTGCAGACAAATAATTGATGAAGGTAACACATGATAGACAACTGAGATTGAGGCAGTGTATTCCTGTCATGTCAGGGGAAGATAGGCATTGGGGAGCACCATTCCTTGTGTGGGTTCCTGGACCCTGTTAGGGGAAAAAAAAAGACCCACTGCCTCTCCAATTTGTCACAAGAGTCAGCTGGTTGGGGCTCCTTCGAAGTCAGGTTGCATCTGCCTGAGAAACAAGAAATAAACAGTCTGCATATGAATAAGTCACATCTATAAAACGGATGTGCACGCAACACTCAGTTTCTGGAACTAGATTAATGTCCATAGGTGGATGAATAACCATAATTTTCTGCCAGAGTTTACAGCCAGTGAATGTAAAGAAGAAGAATACCATAATATATGAAAGATCAGTGGTTATACATGCAGATCTGTGGGGACACTGGCAGTGTGCAAGATGATAATGATGAGGATAATGATGATGCTGTTAACTTTTTGTGGCAAGATACCTGCTTCAAAATGAGAGACTTGAAAAATAACAAAATGAGAGAATTGTCTGCCATGAAATATGTGATCTACTTTGTGACAGGTGACTGTGTCGGTGTGGATGTGACAGCCCTGTACAAGAAAGAAGAGTTCCTCAAATACACCATCACTATGTCCAGTTATGGTTACTATGGTGACCTGCTACAAGACAGTGAACATCTGCGCTGGATGGGACCCAACCGTTACACCTGGAGTGGTGTGTTCCTTTATTCTGACATTTTCCTGACATATTGACACTTTTGTATCATTAAGCCATGACATAGAGATATCTGTACAGTTTGATTTGACTTTGATTTGATTTGATTCAAGAACCGACATCACAGCACTCGGGTCATTTCCATAAGCGCTCCGTCCCCATCTTCAGCAGCCAGCTCAGAGTTCCAGTACTAATGGTGCCAGAAGCTTTCTGATTAAACGTCCCTCTTGCCTTTCCTCTGAGCCTCGAGCATCTGCCAGAACCCCTTGTTACTCCCCACTGCATCAATCTCACCAGACTATGGTGATCCATCTGTTCCTCTAAACTGTACACGCTCTCCCACAATATAGTTTGAAAACCTTTAAAAGAAAAGTTATTTCACTTGGGGTTAGTCATCTTAGTTCACTCAGGGGCTAAAATAGTGAAAATCTGGATCATCATAGACCAGAACCCTGAGTCAAAGATCAACAATGGATCAACATCATGGCACACGGGTGTAACCCATAAGTGCTCAGTTCTTCTTCTAACTCAAGCCTGAGTCCGAAGAATCTCAGTACAGTGCATAAACTCTGTTGCACCGGCGAAGATCCTGAAATGCTTTGGGTAGATTTTTAAAACCAAACTTTTCCCGGGCAGTGCCGTTAGGCAACTCTTTTTAATTTCAAACTGCCAAGAGATTTTTTCTTTACGCACAACAATACACATGGGCTTCCGGTCTTACTACCCAGAGACCAGGGGAAATGACTCCACGTGAAAAATAGAGAAAAATAATGTCAAATAATGAACTTATCTTTCGTTGTTTTAACAGTGATCAGCTTGACTGATGACGATTGTTGATCAAAATCTGACTAGACTTCTATAAGTTTTCTTCGATGTCCTGAGGCCACATTCTTACAATTATATCAAATCTTCACTTCCTAATATTTCAGACTGTTTGGCTTTTCTGAATTCAATCTTGAGGTGTCCGAAACTAGGTCAGAAATTTCTTGTTTCACTTTGCGATGTCCAAAACTGTTTACATTTTTCTTAAATGGGCTGTGTGCGAAGTTAGCTACTGGCTGGATACGAGTTTCTGTCAAGGATAGGTTTTTCTTTTGCGAATCATTGTGAAATAAATTGTTCTTTTGTCCAATTAAGAAACGTTTTTCCTACTCAACAATGAGGTCCACGTGATTCATATTTTTATCCCAGGACGAGCACCCACTTGTAAGAAAGCTTGTTCAACTTATAGCTGTTTCTCTTTTACTATGGCTCATTTATTCTAGGACAAACACAGCTTCCTACAATTGAAAACACTGCAACGCCGCTCGGATTCCATTATGCATTCTGCCAGTTTATGTCTTCTATTCTATCACATGTGCTCAGTCGCAATCATTGCTGTTCACTTCCACAACTATGACACAATACTCATTTACTAGACGTTAACTCCACTTAATTAAAACTACAGTAATGACATCATGACTGTCTTTATCTGACTCTGATACACAACTGACCACGAGTCAACCTCGGACTTTCCCTCGCTTACTCTTCGAGCCCCAAGTGTCTCGGGCAGTGGTTTGTCGCACGGATTTTCTGCTCGACTTACGGTGAGCGTCAAGACCATGCAAAGCAGGGTTATCACAATGATGATGTTGATAATTATGATGCTGATGATGATGTTGATGATGATGATGATGAAATTCAGTCCAGTAGCTCTGAGCTCTCTCATAAATGTTTGTCACAGGCTTTCTCTTGGACATCATTTTCTCCGTCCATTTGGTCCCTCTCTCAGTGCCTGTTTTATCTTACATGTAACAAAAAGATTGTTGAATCAAGAATTGACAACACTCAGGACAATCCCATAAGTACTGCATCTCCATCTTCAGCAGCAAGTGAAGAGTTCTAATTCCGATGGCACCAGTTACTGTCTGATTGTATATCCGTCTCGCCTTTCCCTTGGGTGTTGAACCTCGGCCAGATCCCCTGGTAACTCTGAAACAGAGTCTACTTTTATTTTTTCTTGGTTCGATAAGATACTTTAACAATGTCACAAACAATATCAATGATTTTCTGAAAAGCGCTGTGTTCTCTCTATGGCTAAATACTCGTAGGTTCGCGTTGTGTTCCTCATCTCTAGTTACTTTGTTAACTGATTCTAGTGTCTCTAACTGCCACCTGGCTTCTAGTGCTGTTTGGTACTAATGTCTTGAGCATTGACTCTAACACCTCTATAGTGTTCCTAATGTGTCTCTGTTGACCATGGATCCAGGTATCTTGTGTGTTGTCTCTGTGGCTCGATGTCTCGTTTCATGTCTGCTCTCCAGTGACTGTCTTCGAGGTTCCATATGAACGTCTGCTCTCCTTTCAGTGTTGAGCTGGCATCGATGATCATTGAGACTAGTCGCTCGTCCTCTGAGTCTCAACAACTGAAGGCTTCTAGTGTTGGGTTAACATCTCTACCACTGAAGGCTGTCTTGGGAGCCCATGTGACTGGTCTCTCCTCTCTTGAGTCTTGTGGACTGAAGAACTGCTTAGGTGCTTTGTTACTCATTATTTATACTTGAATGCTGGAATGCTAGGTATTTGTTTTCTTATCACTTTTTCTGCTTCTAGAATATTCTAGTACGTCTCAGCTTGTTTACTATCTACGTTCTCATGTTGGATTTTCTAAAAATATCTCGATTGCATTAGATTTCATCATCCTATTCTACACAGATATAGTAGTTAAATTGACAGCTGTCCTTCTAGAAAACAAGTACAATTGCGTTTGCTTTGATAATGCATGACAACAAGGTATTTACTAGTAAGACAAGGTTGGGTCACATGATGAAACAAACGCATTTCAAAACTTCTAGATAGAAGGTCAAGGCCAGAAAACATCAGTTTGATGTCAACAGCTAGTTTTGGCTGGAAAAGAAGATTCAGGAAAAGGGGATGTCAAGGCTGACAAAACTTGTTGATTTCCTAATATTCTAGCGTTGTGCCTCCTAACAAACGAGCTTTGTAACTCTGTTACAACTCCTCGCAGTGCCCTTCTTCTCAGACTTAAAGAATATAATTGTGACTTCACACCGTTCACTGGCTCCCAAAGGGCCCTCACAACATCTAGCTTGTCATGCATCAATTCACTATCAAGTGGTGCAGAACCAGCCAGTCTAAACACATGTAACAAGATTTAAAGTGTAACTGTAAATCCTAAAGTTACTATCCTTTACAGGATGTTGCAGAACCAACCCCGGCAATTTTTGGCTATTGTGGTTTTTCTAGTTTACGTTCAGTGCTTTGCCATTGCTTTCTAAATGGTCTACTATCAATACCACTGTCGGAACCAACGTAAGATGTCTGTTGCCAAATCACCAACTGCTGGGATCGAACCTGGCACGCCTGCATTACTAAGCATGTTCACAGTGCCCATCCACAGATGCCGACATGAATCCCAAACAGATAGTAAAAGAAAAATAAATTATTTTTAGACCTCAAATGCAGTTTGAAAGTTGATGTAGGATATATTGATTTAAAATTGACTAATAACAAATGTTTCTTCTTCTTCACTTCCTCTTTTACCGCTGTGGGTGTTTAGGGAGATATAAGGTTCTGTTTCTGGCTCTTCTGGCCGCCTCGACCATAGGCACATCGTGCTGTTGTAGAGCTTCTCTAATGTTATCCTTCCATCTTGTTCTTGGTCTACCTCTTGCTCTACGACCTTCTTCTCTTTCCATGTATGCTTTGTATGGTATGGTGTCACAAGGCATTCTCTCTAAGTGGGCAAACCATTTCACTTGCTGTCTTTGTATGTAATTTAGAATTGGTTCTGTGCCAACTTTTTCTCTTATGATCTCATTCCTGATCTTATCTCTTATGGTCACTCCTACAGCCCTTCTCAGACATCTCATTTCCGTGGTTACTAATTTTCTTTTATGGTTTGTTGTGAGTGACCATGTCTGGCACTGGTAGCACAGAGTTGGAATAAATATGCTTTGAATAAGATGTCTCTTTGTGCTGATTGGGATTGTCTTATGCTGTAAGAGGGGGGCTAGCTGTCCCAATACTTGGTTTGCTTTACTGCATCTAATGTTAATTTCTTTATCCAATTTCCCATCTTCGGTAAATGTAGTTCCCAGATATTTAAACTCAGATGCCTGTTTAATGCCTTTGTTCTCTATTGCTATGTTTAGATCTGTCTTCTTTTTTCCTATTGACATTACTTCTGTCTTTTCAGTGTTGATTCTCATATTATTTGTTTTACATTCTTCATTCATGGATGTTAGATGTTGTTGCAATTTCATGGCCTGGTCATCTGCAAAGAGTAATTCGTTGATCTTACTAACATTTTCATTCATGGGCTTGGCATTCTTGCATATGCTGTCGATGTAGGTGATAAACAGCAGTGGTGATAAGACACACCCCTGTCTTACTCCAGATGTTACTGTGAATGGATGAGATGTTCCCTGATTTATTCTAACTACACTTCTACAATCCCTGTATAAACTTTTGCACACTTCGATGAGGTGTTCGCTTACTCCATATCTTGCCAATACTTTCCATAAACAAACGTTTACTTGCGCCAAAATGTTAATTTAATGTTGACTTGTGACAAGTGACGACTGACAGGTGACTTCTGAAATGTGACTGTGACGTGTCTGCTGCAGGTCTGAAGACATTCCTGGCCAACAGATCATATGAGGGACATATTTCCTTTCTCCTGGCATCAGAGGAAGACAGTCACCCCAGGGATAACTCTGTTTGCTACGCCGGGTATGTCTGTATGTGGCTGAGATTGTATAGGATGTCTGTGTGTGGGTGAGGATGTCTGTGTGTATCTGTATACATTGTATGTCTGTGTACCTGTGTTTGTATATGCTGTATGTCTATATTTGTCTGTGTGTGTATATTATCTGTCTGTATGTGTATTATTTTTATATATTGTGTAGCTATGTGTGCCTATGTTTGTATATAAACCTTGAATGTCTGTGTGTAACCGTGATTGTATGTATGTATGTACCTATATTTGTGTATGTATATTGTATATCTCTGCATGCCTGTGATTGAATACGTTGTATGTCTGTGCATGCCTGTGTTTGAATATGTTGTTTGTCTGTGTTTGCATATGTTTTGTGTCTATGTTTGTATATGTTGTATGTCTGTATTTGCCTGTCTTTGCATATGTGGTATGTCTATGTGAGAGTTTGTGAGAGAGAAAGAAGTCTGCGTGTATCTGTTATGTATGTAGTTTGTGCAAAGATTGCAGTACCATATAAGCTATAAAGCTTGTGTATCTGTGCATTGTGTATCTGTGCTTTGTGTATCTGTGACTTGTGTATCTATGCCTTGTGTGTCTGTGCCTTGTGGATCTGAGCCTTGTGTATCTCCCCTCAGTGTCACATGTGTTGTGTACTTTGCCTTGCACATCTCGTTTTGTGCAACTGTATGTTTTGCTGTGCTCACCGATGATGTTCACATTGTGATGTCTGCCTCTAGCTGTGTTCACACTGGGATGTTCACATTGTGAAGTCCACCTGTGAAGTTCACATTATGATGTTCGCATTGTGATGTTCACCTGTATTGTTCACATTGTGTTGTCTTACTCCCAGCTGTGACAAGTGCAGGAAGGCAGCCCTCAAGAATGAGCAGGCCCGGGGAGACAGCAGACAGCTGGAGTTTGACCTGGGGTCAGCAGGTCTGTACTTGGTATGCTAGTTGCAGTTATGTTGTATATAAACTGAATGGATATCTTCTAGTGGCAGTTATGTTGTATATAAGCTGAGTGGATATCTTCCAGTGGCAGTTATATTGTATATAAACTGAGTGGATATTTTCTAGTGGCAGTTATGTTGTATATAAACTGAGTGAATATCTTCTAGTGGCACTTATATTGTATATAAACTGAGTGGATATCTTGTAGTTGCAGTTATGTTGTATATAAACTGATTGGATATCTTCTAGTGGCAGTTATGTTGTAAATAAACTGAGTGGATATCTTCTGGTGGCAGTTATGTTGTAAATTCACTGAGTGGGTATCTTCTAGTGCAGTTATGTTTTATGTAAACTGAGTGGATATCTTCTAGTGCAGTTATGTTTTATGTAACCTGAGTGGATATCTTCTAGTGCAGTTATGTTTTATGTAAACTGAGTGGATATCTTCTAGTGCAGTTATGTTTTATGTAAACTGAGTGGATATCTTCTAGTGGCAGTTATATTGTAGAAACACTAATACAAAGATGTACATTTGTAGCAACATTGATCAGCTGACTTTCTGCTTCCATCTGTCCAGGTGATGTGGCTTCAGTATCTAGTAAACGGGCCAGTTTCATGAGTAAGTTTGCATGTGTGTTTGTCATGCTGACTGTGTTCTTCCCTGATTGCTAACATTGAAGGTATGCTACAGAATTCTGTCAGATGTGATGAGAAGTAGGAAAGTTGGAGGGGAGGAGAGACAGAGGGAGACAGAAAGAAAATATGTTGGACAGTTTGAAATCACGGCACGGAAGATCATCTGTATCAGAGTTGATTGAAAGTTCACGTGACAGAAGGTTGTGGATAGACATGACTACCAATGCCACACAGCATAGAGTTAAAGAAGACAGAATTCTGACTACGTAAGTGTGGGAAACACTTGATAGGACAGAGCAGTTTGTTTATATAACTATTATCACTAGATCTGTGATTTTGCTTGTTTCTTGACATCTCAGTTAGATGACCACACATGCAGCATTGCTGTCTTGTCTGTCCGGGACTCAATCAGTTCCACCTGTCTACCTGCACATCAGTAGCTAGCAGGCTTCAGGTCCTGATGAAACTACCTTTAACAGCCAGGTTAGCCCAGCCTTAAAATGGGTACCAGGTAGATAGGTAAGTTGTACCTCACCAGGACATCACACAAGCAATAAACACCCAGTGACACAAAGTATCACCATGCGGATGAGGATCACCCGTGGAGAGGTCCCAGAAACCCCTTTCAGCCATTTGGCCATATCTATGGCTAGGCCATATTTATGGCCTGGCTATATTCAGGTCCCCCAGCAAAAGCCAGGATGGGGCTTCAAAATAAGAAAAAAATGCATCCCACGAGGTGACGACTGAAATGAAATGGGTACCAGGTAAAGTCCTGGGAAGTAAAGGTGGCCAGCAGGATGATGGCCACATCCCCAACCGAGTACTAATATAGTTTATAAAATTTAGGTCTAGCACTACACCTGAAGATGTGGGAAAGTTTTACATCTTGTTTTGTTTAAACCTGCTTATCTGGACACCTGGTCAATAGGTAAATGTGAGTTCCCAGCTCATTTCTATGTTTAGTGGTTTTAACAGTGTTTGTCAAATCTTTGGTGTTTCTCTGTGGACTAGTTATAGGGCCTTTACCACTGATACATTTAGGACAGTAACTTTAGAAGATCTGTCAGTGACGTGACCAAGCCTCTGAGACAACATGCCCCCATGTCACAGCTGCCATAACTTTAGAAGATCTATAAGTGACGTGACCAAGCCATCCCCATGATCTGTGAGTCTCATGACTCCTCATAGCGCAATATAACGCTATCGTCTGGAAAAATGGAAAGGTGACATTGATGAGCTTAGCTTTGCAATTTTTGTCATGGAAATATCCAGTAACCACCCCTGTTATCCTGATTGAAGTCTGGAATCACATGCAGTCACACAATCAACACTTGGAATGCTAAGATGGTAAGACTGTGCTGCATGTGTGCCTGATCAAGGGAAGTACCCCACCAGATTTGTCCAGGGTAGAAACTAGTCCTAACCGAGAACGAAACCAGATCAGCCTGTCTGATGGACAGTGGCTACCTCACTGGACATGGGACAGAAGCATACAGTTCAACATCAAGAAGCACTCTATTGCACAAAAAAAGCTATACAACAGAAATGTAACAGAGATACCCAATGAGACTTCAAGACATACCATCATCATCATCATAATGAAGGATAACCAGAGAAAGATCACGGTTATAACCAAAATCTTTCTGAAGTTAAATGCAGTCAAAACTTTTGATTTTCTTTTCTTCAAGCAAGGTTTAAAGACATGCAGTTTAAGAAATCTCTCCAATTCATAGACTAAACTGAAGACCTCCATGGTTCCGTGGTGTGTCTGAAGACCTCCATGGTTCTGTGGTGTGTCTGAAGACCTCCATGGTTCTGTGGTGTGTCTGAAGACCTCCATGGTTCTGTGGTGTGTCTGAAGACCTCCATGGTTCTGTGGTGTGTCTGAAGACCTCCATGGTTCCGTGGTGTGTCTGAAGACCTCCATGGTTCCGTGGTGTGTCTGAAGACCTCCATGGTTCTGTGGTGTGTCTGAAGACCTCCATGGTTCTGTGGTGTGTCTGAAGACCTCCATTGTTCTGTGGTGTGTTTGAGGACCTCCATGGTTCGTCTGAAGACCTCCATGGTTCTGTGGTGTGTTTGAGGACCTCCATGGTTCTGTGGTGTGTCTGAAGACCTCCATGGTTCTGTGGTGTGTTTGAGGACCTCCATGGTTCCGTGGTGTGTCTGAAGACCTCCATAGTTCTGTGGTGTGTCTGAAGAAGGTCAGCCTTGCTGGCTTGAGTTTAATAGTTCCTGCTGCTCATTTGTTGGTTGCTTGTCTACTGTTTGTTTAAATGTTTTCTTCTTTTCCTTGATCTGCTGTCTTTAGTGAAGGATGGCTGGCACCATGTTCGAGGAAAGTTCAGCGCCATTACAGTAGTCAACATCAGCTGTAGGTCCCACCTGAGTCCACAAGGCCTGTCACCATCCTCACATCTGGGCGACGGCTGCATTGACCTCATCCTGGTACAGGACTGTTCTCGACTCCAGTATCTACGGCACATGATACGGATACCAAACAGGAAGTCAGACCAGGTCAGGTGACATCTGTGTTTGGACAAATATTTTTTTTTACTGTGTTTTTATTCCCTGTTTCTTCCCTGGTCAGAAAGAATACAGTTGTGTGAGAGAGCAGTGCTTGAAAGGGCTGGATGTAATAAGTGTTGGCATGCCAGATTTGTGACCCTTTGAAAATGTTTGACTTCTTCCTGGGCTGTTTGGCTTGGAGTCAGATAAAGGAAACTAACTCTGTTGTACAAAGAAAACATGACCTTCCGAGATCTGACCCCAGCCAGCCTGTGTGACCTGCGACCTGCAGAAACACCTGGCTGTAGATGTACAGTTGCAAAACCTCACTAGTTTCTGAGCTTGGAGAGGGCTGGAGAAGCTCTGCTCTATGTTGGTGCTACTCAGGTACCAGGTCAGTTAAAGTCTGTGCCAGTCTGACTCTGATAGATGCAACATTTTCAGGATATGGACGACCTCAGTGTCAGTACTTCAGGATTAGAGCTTAGTCTCTCATAGGACTCTACCCAGCTGAAACTATCACTGTATGATCAGTCATGCTTTTATCAATTGTATGATTTTGAGGTTTTGAACAACGGATCAACATTATGGCACATGGATGTAACCCATAAGTGCTCCGTTCTTCTTCTAACTCAGGTCTGAGTTCGAAAAAGCTCAGCACAGTGCACAGGCTCTGTAGCACCGGTGAGGATCCTGAAATACTTTCAGTAGATTTTAAACTCAATATTTTGCCTGGGCAGCGCTGTTAGGCTACTTTTTTTTAAATTTCCAACTGCCAAGGGATTTTATTATGTGCGCAACAATGCACACGGGCGTCCGATTTCACTAACCAGAGACCAGGGGGAATTACTAGAAGTCCAAGTCCACATAAAAAAAATCCCAGCCCTTACCGAGAATTAAACCCAGAACCTCTAGCACTCGAGGCGGACACCGTGCCTCAAGATCACACAGCTCCCTTTTATCAATTGTGTGTTTTTGATCAGTCAACTTTTTGGCTTACTTGTACCAGTGGCTGGGTTCAGGCACTGTTATGTTTCCATTGAGAGCTTTAAATAACTTGATAAAATTCACTGTCACTTTATGACAGTTCGTGACTGAATTGGGTCACATCACATTCAGCAGGACTTCCAGTCAGATTGGAGGATAGACATCTTCACTGTTTTTAGTAGTGGCAAAGTTTTACTTCTGACAGACAGCAGCTTTTTGCATTTTCATCCATTTATAAACTGCAAGAATATAGTTTTGTCACCCGGCTCTTAAGTTGAGTGCAAGGTGTGACACTGTGAGCTGCTTTTTTTATTATGAGTATTTTTCGACTGTGACCAACGTGATGTTGTGAACTGTAGGTTCAGAAAATAGCGAGTGGCTTTTTACCACAAAGTAATGGTGCCTTGTATGGTTAGAATTAATCGCGTGTGCAACTACTGATCTGTTTGTAACTGCTGCTTCTATCGATAATGAACTGCATTTCTAATGTCGGACTGTTTGTATTGGCACTTCTGATGACTTCCTTATACTTTTTACTTATGCTAGTGAATTTACTGAGACTGCAGTTTGTGTCAGTTTTTCACAAGGGACAGTGATACACATTCTGTGTGTTTTTCGTTGGCACAGGAGCGGAGCAACTATGGGGTGTCCCGTTTACTATGAAGCTGAAACTATAATTACCAGATGACCAGTCAGCAATACAGGTCTTGTTATGCGAGTCACAGGTTCACTTTAAACGCATGTTATCCTATATATAATGTTATTGTTGCACTGTTGACGTGGTCTATGACTCCTGCCTTGTACTTTCAGTTTGACTTTGACTTTATTCAAGTCTACCGGGTGAAGGAGTTTAGTTTCCAGCCAGTGTCTGAGCCGGAGGATATGGATGTCGGGGAAGGGGAGGAGCGAGGTGGTTGTGGGAGGAAGCGTGGAGGCCTGGTGAAGCTGACAACTGGTTCCCACAGGAGCAGCGTGTGGAACTGTGACGGGGAGCTGGTGGAGAATCCCAGTTTGTACATTCAGTAAGTGTGTGAGACATCTTGTGTGTGTGTGCATGTGTGCCCACATGCATGCCTCTTAGCATCTGTGAGTGAGTGACATCTTGTGTGTGTATGACATCTTGTGTGTGTGTGTGTGTGTGTGTGGTTGACATCCTGTGTGACATCTTGTGTGTGTGTCACATCATGTTTGTGTGATATCTTGTATGTGTATGAACTTTTGTGAGTGCGTGACATCTTGTCTGTGTGTGTGTGACATTTTGTGAGTGTGTGACATCCTGTGAGTGTGTGACATCTTGTATGTGTGAGACCTCTTGTGTGTGTGTGACATCTTGTCTGTGTATGTGTGTGTGACGTCTTGTGTGTGCGACATCTTGTCTGTTATTTCTCTTGTTGTCATCGAGTTCTCAGTGTTAGTTTTCTCTTGTCTTGTCTACTTCATGCAGTGCTGATATTGTATGTTTGTGATTATTTCACGTATATAACTTTATTTCGATCTCCTTGTATCTCTTCTTCTTTTCTCTACTCCTGGAATGCCTCGCAGAGTCAGGGCAGCAAGAGATCTCCAGAGCAGTCCCTTCTGTTCGCTTTGTATAAACTTCTTTTCAGTGTCTCAAATATTTCTGTCCATCTTCTGCCGGGTTGACCTCTGGATCTGTTACCTTAGTATTTGTTTAACATTGCTCTCTCTGATGCCAATCCCTGTATCTCTGTTTGCAGATATTGCTTCATAATTTTCTGTTTCACTTCAAAAGATAGTTTCTGTAAAACTGTCGCTGCAAGTTATTCCAGTTGTTGTTTGTTTGTAAATGAACAGATTGTTTCAAATTGTTTATGTTGTCTGCAGGGTACATTGTCAGTTAATTGAAATGTTTATGTTGTCTGCAGGGTACATTGTCAGTTAATTGAAATGTTTGTTGTCTGCAGGGTACATTGTCAGTTAATTGAAATGTTTATGTTGTCTGCAGGGTAAATTGTCAGTTAATTGAAATGTTTATGTTGTATGCAGGGTATATTGTCAGTTAATTGAAATGATTATGTTGTCTGCAGAATATATTGTCAGTTAATTGAAATGTTTGTGTTGCCTGCAGGGTACATTGTCAGTTAATTGAAATGTTTGTGTTGTCAGCAGGGTACATTGTCAGTTAATTGAAATGTTTGTGTTGCCTGCAGAGTATATTGTCAGTTAATCGAAATGTTTATGTTGTCTGCAGGGTACATTGTCAGTTAATTGAAATGTTTGTGTTGTCAGCAGGGTACATTGTCAGTTAATGGAAATGATTATGTTGTCTGCAGGGTACATTGTCAGTTAATTGAAATGTTTATGTTGTCTGCAGGGTACATTGTCAGTTGATTGAAATGTTTATGTTGTATGCAGGGTATATTGTCAGTTAATTGAAATGTCTGTGTTGTCAGCAGGGTACATTGTCAGTTAATTGAAAAGTTTATGTTGTCTGCAGAGTATATTGTCAGTTAATTGAAATGTTTGTGTTGTATGCAGGGTACATTGTCAGTTAATTGAAATGATTATGTTGTCTGCAGAATATATTGTCTGTTAATTGAAATGTTTGTGTTGTCTGCAGGGTACATTGTCAGTTAATCAAATTGTTTGTGTTGTCTGCAGGGTACATTGTCAGTTAATCAAATTGTTTGTGTTGTCTGCAGGGTACATTGTCAGTTAATCAAATTGTTTGGTCGAGGTGTGGAGGATTTGAACCCGGATGCCTCCCTGCAGTGCCTGTCGTGTTGTTCATCTTGTGACCAGGAGAAGTGAGCTGCTTCCAGGTGGCAGCAGCCGTCGATTCGTACACGTGGGACCACAACTCTTAACACTAGCTGTCATTTAATATCACTGGATGTCGTTCAGTGACATTTGATACCAGCTGATGTCATTCTGTGTCATCTAATGTCAGTTGATGCCAGTGTCATTTGGTGTTGCTTGATATCACTTGACAGCTTTCATAATCATTAAATGCTGCTTGTTGTCACCCACACAGTCCTCATTTCGAACAGCCTAAAGGGAATAGAAACTTTAATATTGTCTGTCCTAAAGCACAGTGAAGATCAAAATCTGTTCTTGAATTTAAATAAAATGGAAATAATGTCCACAGATAAAACCGGCTATCAACCAAAAATAACAATAAATGATGAAGAAATTGAAAATTTCACAAACTTGGAATATCTAGGCTCTATAATAAACAGCAATGGAGACTGTTTGACAGAAATAAAAAGGAGGATGGCCATAGCAATGCAAAGATTGAACAGCCTTAAAAGTCTATGGTTAAGCACCAGCAAGGAGATAGAAATTAGAATTTTGAGAGCATGCATCTTCCCTGTGGCTACATATGGATGTGAGTCATGGACTATCTCTCAGTCCTTAAGAAAGAGAATAGGGGCTTTTGAGCTGAAATGCTATAGAAAGATTCTCAGAATATTTTGGACAGAGAAGATGAGAAATACTGACATCTTAAAAGATCTTAACATTAAGGAAGATTTGCTAATAAACAGAATCCTGTCTCAGAAGTTGAAATATTTTGGTCATATCAAGCACCATGACGGATTGGAAAAAATTATAGCAGAAGGCATGGTACCAGGAAGGAGAAGTAGGGGCCGACCGACACAAAGATGGGCACAAGATATAAGTGACTCCTTGAGTATGAAAGTACATGGGGCGGGAGAACTGGCGAAAGACCTAGTTTCTTTCAGGCAGACTGTGATGAGAGCGACGTTCTTCAAAGGACCTGCTACATAATGATGATGATGATGATGTCACCCAGAATCGTTTGCTTTTGCTATGACCAGCCATATTTTTTAAATATAGCTAATATAATTATTGTCCTGGGGAAGTAAATATTGCTGGCGTATCTCTGTTCACATTACCCACCTAGTGCCGATTGGTAAAGACGTAAAAAGTGATTTTTTAAATTTTTTATTATTAAAATTTTACAGATTAATGGATTTTTTTTAAAGTGGGGGGGGGGGGGGGGGGGGGGGTCTCACGAAGGGAATGAACCCAAAAGATTATTAGATCATTTTTACGACTGATCTCAATTTATGACACGTGCAAGTGTGTGCATGCGATGTTGTGTGAGAGAGAGAGATTTACCAGATGTGTACAGCAAATGTGTATATGGGAAGTGATGTTTGATTTTTGTGTTGGTTGTTTGTGGGTCTCGGTTTTGAGTAGGTGGATATCACTTGTATTTGGGTTGTTTTGTCATTTACTGCAACATGTTGAATATTATCAGCTGCTCCAGCTTGTTGAGTATTGTCATCTGCTCCAGCTTGTTGAATGTTTTCAGCTGTCCCAAATTGTTGAATGTTTTCAGCTGCCCCAAACTGTTGCATGTTTTCAGCTGCCCCAAATTGTTGCATGTTTTCAGCTGCCCCAAATTGTTGAATGTTTTCAGGTGCCCCAAATTGTTGAATGTTATCTTCTTCTTCTTCTCTTCCACCTTGTACCTCATCAAAGTGTCGGGGGGAGATGTAATGTTCATTGATGAGCTCGGTCAAGAGCACTATTAAGACTGATGTTCATTTCTGTAAGGCTGTTCTTAATGCCATCACTCCATATTTTCTGAGGTCTTCCACTCGCTCTATACCCGTTGTAATGTTTTAGTGTGGCGGATAGTACTAGGGCATTCTTGTTAGATGTCCAAACCACTTCATTTGTTGTTCTTTGATGACCTGTAAGACTGGCTTTATTCCTAGCATTCGTCTGATTTCATGATTTTGTTTTCTGTCTTTCCTTGAAACTCCTGCAGCTCTTCTGAGGCATTTCATCTCTGTTGTCACAATTTTACGTTCATTGGAGGATGTAAGTGTCCACCTTTGGCATTGCTAGCATAGTGTTGGCCAAAAAAATAGTTCTGAAAAGATTCACTTTAGTACTCCGAGGTATCTGCTTGTGTGTCAACAAGGGAGATAGTTGACCCATTACTTGATTAGCTTTGGCACATCTGGAGCTAATTTCTCTGTCCAGTTTTCCGTCTGATGTAAAAATTGCTCCCAAATTGTTTAATGTTTTCAGCTGCCCCAAATTGTTCAATATTTTTTTTTTAGCTGTTCCAAGTTGTTGAGTGTTTTCACCTGCCCCAAGTTGTTGAATGTTTTCAGCTGCCCCAAATTGTTGAATGTTTTCAGCTGCCCCAAATTGTTTAATGTTTTCAGCTGCCCCAAATTGTTTAATATTGTCAGCTGCTAAAATTGTTTAATGTTTTTGACTGTCCCAAGTTGTTCAGTGTTTTCAGCTGCCCCAAAGTTGATCAGTGTTTTTAGCTACCCCAAATTGTTTAATATTTTCAGCTGCCCCAAATTGTTGAATGTTTTTAGCTGCCCCAAATTGTTTAATATTGTCAGCTGCCCCAAATTGTTGAATGTTTTCAGCTGCCCAAAGTTATTCAATATTTTCAGCTGCGTAAAGTTGTTGAATGTTGTACAAGAACTCCTGTATCAGTGAGGATCCCACATATGTAGCCTAGACTCACACTTGCTAGAGATGTTCTGTGTTTCTTTGGCTAGCAAATGTTGTCTGGGCTTGTTAAGCCTGATCTGGTTGACTTCCTTGAGCTGAAGAAAGATTATATTCTAACACAGACACAGGTACTTCAGAGTTGTAGCTCTTGTCTGATGTTTGTAGTGTGCTTTGTTGTAAAAATACAGTGAGATGAGCAGTGTCTGCTTGGACCAGTAGTGGATGCAGGAATCTGTGTCAGCCCTGTGTGTGGAAAGTGTACTGATCTACCCACCCCTGTGTGTGGAAAGTGGACTGATCTACCCCACGCCTGTGTGTGGAAAGTGTGGACTGATCTACCCTACCCCTGTGTGTGGAAAGTGGACTAATCTACCCCACCCCTGTGTGTGGTATCCCTTGGTGGCCAGATACCTGCCTGCATCATGTGTTTGCTGTCCCTCCTGGCATGTCTTCTGTGTTTGTGGCACCTGCTTGTTTCAGGAAATTCATGGAAGCTGCTGCAGTTAAATAGATGATGAAGTTTTTGTGTGGATATGTGTAAAATGTGAACTTATAATGAGCATCAGACTATGAGATATCAGACATATCAAATGAGAAGAGAAGCATTTTTGAGAAATTAAAATCTTTATTTAAATATTTTCATGTGATTGTGTGAAAACTCCTGAGTGATTGTGTGACCACTGATGTGTGATTGTATGAATACTTATATGATTATGCTAACACTGACATGTGGTTTTGAGAACACTTACATGTGATTGTGTGAACACTTGTATGATTATGTGAACACTAACATGTGATTGAGAGATCACTGACATGTGATTTTGAGAACACTGACATGTCATTGAGGGCACACAAAAATACTGTTAAATGATTGTGTGGAGACTGATAAGTGATTATGAGAATACTAACATGTGATTGTGAGAACACTGACATGTGATTGTAAGAACACTGACATGTGATTGTAAGAACACTGACATGTGATTGTAAGAACACTGACATGTGATTGTAAGAGTACTAACAGGTGATTGTGTGGACATTGACATGTGATTGTGAGAACACTGACATGTCATTTTGGGCTCACTAAAATGTGATTGTGAGAACATTGTTGAATGATTGTGTGGAGACTGATATGTGATTGTGAGGATACTAACATGTGATTGTGAAAACACTGACATGTGATTGTGTGAACAATGTTGTATGATTGTGTTAACACTGACATGTAGATTGTGTAGACACTGGCATGTGACTGAGAACACTGTTGTATGATTGTGTGACCACTGATGTATTATTGTATGAACACTGCCATGTGATAGTATGAACACTCTTGTATGTGTGAACACTGACATGTGGTTTTGTGGACACTGATATTTGATTTTGAGAACACTGACATGTGATTGTGAGAACACTGCATGTGATTGTGAGATCACTAAACACTGACATGTCATTGTAAGCACACTAAAATGTGATTGTGAGAACTGTTGAATGATTGTGTGGAAACTGATATGTTATTCTGTTAACACTGACATGTGATTGTGAGAACACTGACATGTGATTGTAAGAACACTGACATGTCATTGTGAGAGCGCTGACATGTGATTGTGAGAACATTGACATGTGAATGTGTGGACCCTGACATGTGATTGTGAGAACATTGACATGTGAATGTGTGGACACTGACATGTGATTGTGAGAACACTAACATGTGATTGAGAACATGGTTATATGATTGCAAGAACACTGACCTGGAATTGCAAGAACACTGACATATGATTGTGAGAAAACTGTTGTATGGTTGTGAGAAGACTGACATTTGATTGTGTGGAGTCTGACATGTGATTATGAGGACACTACATGTGATTGTGAGAATTCTGACTTGTGAATGTGAGAACATTGACATGTGATTGTGAGTATACTGACATATGATAGTGAGAACACTGACATGTGATTGTGAGAACACTGACATGTGATTATGAGAATACTGACATGTGATTGTGAGAAAAATGTTGTATGATTGTGTGAACAATGTAAATTGTGTGGAAACTAACATGTGACTGTGAGAACACTGAGATATGATTGTGAGAACACTGACATGTGATTGTGACAGCACTGACATGTGATTGTGAGACCACTAACATGTGATTGTGAGAGCACTGACATGTGATTGTGAGAACACTGACATGTGATTGTGAGAGTACTGATGTGATTGTGACAGCACTGACATGTGATTGTGAGAGTACTGATGTGATTGTGACAGCACTGACATGTGATTGTGAGAACACTGACATGTGATTGTGAGAGTA